ATCAATCAGCATCTCCAAGAATGTAAGCAAAAACGGAGACACCTCCAAAGCCTTCTGTCGTCTCGACACGCTGCCTTGAACGAGTTTATCACCAAAATTAGGCAACGCATATTCAGTAGGACGCTCAAGACTGACCAACTGACTTGAAAACGCTTGAAAGAGCTAAGAGTAGAATTTCCTACCAAGCTTTTGGGCGTCATAGCTGAATAAAGTGCTGAAATCGGCCTTTGCCTTGTGCGCAATTGTTATAGGGAGAGAAAATTGTGCTTTTCACGAGGAAGTTAACATCTTTCAGCCCCCTCACATACTCACTACCATGTGGAAAACATGAGCTTTTTACCCGAGTATATTGGTATACTTGTTATAAAAACTTCTACCAAATATTCTTTCCACAGACTTTTGTACCTACTGGACTATGCAAGTCTACGTTTCTGGATGCGACGGTTCTCACAAGTATGGTATGGGTTTCAGGGAACGGGTATAACACCGGGAACTGTGTCGGACTGTCTTGGAAAACAAACGATTTCGCATCTAGTGTCTGACGATCTGCGAAATATTCAGCACTTCGTAAAGATAACATCTTGGCTTTAGCACATCAGCAACGAATTAAAAAAAAAAAACCCCGAAGAAGTGCCGCCACAGCAGGTCAAATTCATTTAAGTTTGCCGCTCCGCGTCAAGGAGAGTCGCAACCACCGCAACTTACATCGCTGAAAGTTATCGATCGAGATGCTTAGACGAATTTTTAACATTTAATTATTCTCGGTACTTAGGTGCGAATAGGAATGCAAACTGGTAAATTTATATGGCACTAATTCCCTCATCGAAGAGCAATGGTTGGACTTATGTAAATACACAAGTATTTTCAATCGAGGCAGTAACGGCATCTCTGGCAACTATTAAGCTGATCACCAAATTTATCTACATAGTTTTTTGACACAAAATTTGTAGTCTCAATAATATACAGTCAGCGTCAAAAATATGCCTACCCTGACGTTTTGACGATTTTATTTATTTACATTTTCCGTACAAAAATTTTTGTTATTTTTTTATGAAAATATAGTACGGTCAACAGCAAAAACCACAAGAATTAATTTTTTTATTTCATACAGAACTCAGGAAAAATGCAAAAAATATCGAGAAATATTAATCGAAATTTTCAACTTTTCAATTCGATTTCTTAGAAAAATTTTGAGTATGCAGTTTTGTAGGTCATCAAACTAAAGTGCAGGTTTAAAGTAGCTAAAAATTAACGTTGGTTTTTGAATTTTCTTTCCGAGGTTGTTGCGCCTTTCCTCCATATAACGGATTAACACAATCTTTTTTTTTTATATCAAAGAACGTACGCAACACAATCAGAAAAAAAAAATCAAAAATCAACGTCCTTAGCCACTTGATAGTTGCACTTAATGATATTAGAATTTAATGAGCTACACCATTACATACCTGAAATTGTCTAAAAATAAAAAATTAAATTAATTTTGATACAAATTTTTTGTTACATTACAATATATTTTTAATTTTTTCTCTTTTTGGTGAAGCCCTACAATTCTTTTTAAGTTGTTCTTCTTTTGTAACATTGGACTGGAACAGGCGAAACGATTTTCTTCAAAATTGCTACTTTCTCTGCACTTTGCATTAAAAAAATTTAATAAAAACAAATTTACATTTTATAGTTGCAGTTGTTGATTGAAAATGAGGGCTCTGGAGGGTTATGAACAAAAAATTTCAGTTTCAGACCACTGTGTGGCGTTATCTCCTTATTAATATTTAAATTTCATACATATTTGTATATTAACGCAATTAAAATAACTTAAGTAGTAATATAAGTGCGTACATGCAATTGACTAATTCATGTTATTTCTTATTTTTATTTGCAGAAAATGCTACAAAATCTACACAACCCGACGCACCATATAAATTCATATTCAGTCGGCGTGCAGTCATCATCACTGGCTCAATTATTCTACTAACTATATTGATCGGAATAGTCATAGCTACTGTGAATAGTCTCACAAAACAGACGATACGAAAAAGTAAGATTCTAGGTGATGGCGACGATTCCAGAAAGCATATTCCAATCAATTCAACAATAGGTATTTGTAAATAAAAGCAAACATTTTGGTGCTCAAGGTGGATTGATACTAACAAAAAAAAAAATTCTCATACTTACCTACACCAACATACTCATTTATATGCAAGCATACATACTATGTCCATACAGTGGCGGGAGAATAAATAGGAATGAACGCGATATTTTAACAACTTTAGGACAACTTTTCTTTTGTTTATTTAATCTTAATTACTTTTTTATGAAAGTATAGCTCACTATCTAACAAAAATGTATGTAGAAAATTCGACAAGGTTTCATCTAAATTTCAGAATTTTTAATCACAATTTTCAAAAACATTTAGGTATACAGTTTTTAGCATATTTATTAAATTTTAGTATAACAAAGTGCAAGTTTGAAGAGGCTAGGTGTTACGGTTGACTTCTGGTAATTTTTGTGTGGTTTTCCATTTGTTATATTTAATCTTTTATATAAAAAGCAACTGATAAAACTTTAGTTAGACTTAATGAAATAGTTGAACCAAGTTTGGTAGATATCGATAAAGCGGTTACCGAGATACACCTTTGAAGTCATAAAGTGTGCGGTGCCACGCCCTGTTTCTAAAAGTCTATAAAAATCGTATTTATTGTTAAGAGATTGTTGTAAATATTAACTTCGAGTAAATTAGCGTCCTCAGTTATATACATCGATTTTGAGTGAAATAGCTAAATAGTTACACACACACAAGTGCGCTCGGGTATAAAAGGAATCGTTTTATTTGACACAGCCTAATGCACATAATAATAAATGGTTTAAATGAGCTTAATTGATTTTAACTTTTTGAGAAGTTGCAACCTTCTTCCAAAATGTGTCAGAAATAAACTTAACTTAAATTTCTCTTGTTTGACACCTATATTAAGATATTTTATTTGGCATGTCAATTAAATTGATTTTGAATTTATAAGCAGGTGGCAACATTATCTACTATATTAAAGTACTTCAAACATAAAGCTTTCTTAAACCTCTCTCGTTTGATACCAATATTAAAATGTTTGATTTACATTATTAATAAAATTTATTTAATCTTTTTGAACAGGTGGCAACCCTCTTCTAAAATATTTTCGAAATTAATCGTTTGACACCCATATTGTTGTAATATTGTTTTTAACCCATTAACTAACACTATAGTGAAAATCTCAAGTTTTGAAAGGACACAAAAAACGCCGAAATATGTAAACTTACATATACCGTTTTTTTAGATCAAGGCATTTTCTCAATTTTTGTGGAAAAAAATCAAATTTTAACAGGGAGAAAACAGATTTTTTTAACTTTTTGCAATCGCCTCAAAGCCTGTTCTTTTGCAAAAAAAAATCAAGCTACTAACGATTAAAATCGATAGATAAATAAACAAGTTGTGAATGGGCAAAGGAAAATGCGTAATGAATTTTTTTATGAAATAGGGGCAGGAAATAATGTTACTCATACGTACATGACCGTACTCGTAAATATTCGTACATGGCGTATGAGTAACATTTTCCATATCCAAGTTATTCCGGATTTCCATTAGGTATTAAATGACAAAGTTGGGCATTAAGTGCCTGTGTAGTACCTGTGCCATTACGTTAAGAAAAAATCGTCATTAAATTCGTTTCCACATGGCATTTTTAAATGGCACAAATTTTTCGTCAATTAAATGCATAGTGGAAATTCGGCATTGGAATTTTTCTTCATTCGCATTGCATGAAAATATCTTAGGGTAAATACCTGATCTAGAAAAATGATGTGCAGATGCGCAATCTATGACCCAAACTTAACTGGCGTGTCTCCACGTTTTTTTTTTATGATTAAAACTTTTGAAAAAGGTGGCAACTCTCTAAAAAAATATCCGATATAATTTCTGTATGCCAAATTTCATTGAAATACGTCGAGGCGTTTCAGCGTGAAAGAGCAACTCACATACTCACACACTCACTTACTCATTCGCCGACTCACTCTCTGTTGCATTCACGCTCTCACTCACTCATAAACTTTCATATTTAAAGCATTAGAAGGATTCACTACAATTGGAGCGATACAAATGTTGTTCAATTCGAAATTCGCACTGTCATACGCTTTTACATGCATAGGTATGTTTGTGTATTTATATGAAAATGCAAATCTCGGCAATCGTGTATTATAAATATTATACAAGCATATAAAATTCATGTTTAGTTGTGAAAGTGATTTCAAAACCTATTTATTGGAGCACCAATCTAAAGCCAAAAGTTAAGTTGAATGGAATTTATGAATTTAAGCCAACTTTGACTCAACTGTACATCCAGATGCTAACCATATTTTCACTTTTGTTTTCAGTACCGTCGGAGAATAGCGACTACGTATTTAATGGCACACTGCTCATAGTCACCAAGGACGAGTGGTTCGCTGAGCCTGTAAAAGATGATATTGAAAAATTGAAATTACCAGTGCCACGTGTCATCATTGCGCATACTGCTTCAACAACTTGTGAAAATAAAGTAAGTCAACGTTAAATTGCATAACCACATAATATATTTGATCTAATTTATTCCAACACTATCTCACCCCCCTCCATCCAACTTCGTCTTCATGAATATACTCGTACATATGCAGCTTCAGTGTGATGCGCGAGTGCAAAGTGTACAAGCATTTCATATGCACTCAAATGGCTGGAGTGATGTGGGTTATAATTTCCTAGTCGGTGGCAATGGTTTAGTATACGAAGGACGTGGCTGGTATGAGTTAGGCGCACACACTAAAGGCTATAACAGACAAAGCATTGGCATAGCATTTATTGGTACTTTCAACGAAGAAGTCCCCACAGACAATGACCTAAAAGCAGCTAAATTACTTATCGAGGAAGGTGTGAGGTTGGGCGCAATTGCACAAGATTATCGACTCTATGGAGCGCGACAGCTGGGCGGCACCGAAAGTCCGGGCAAAGCACTCTATAGTATAATTACACAATGGTCACATTGGAGTAATCGCATATGAATTAAAAAAATAAAAATAAACATCTTTGGAAAACCTAGAATTTATGTTCATATGCATATAAGTAAATAGATGGCTAAGTACGTTAGAATGACCGAAACTGAATATTAAATAATTTTAAATTATTCTGCGTCCTATAGTTGTCTATGCCTGAAAGGATAATAAACGCTTATTTATATACTATATTTATGTACATATAAACATACATATATAATTTTAGTGTAAATTTGTAACAAAAAATATATACATATAAATGCACTTTAACATACTTAACTATCTAACCTTTTATATGTGTTAAAAAATGTACATAGTATTTCGTTTGATTTAAGGTAAGATCTGCATACATAAATATGTATGTGCATAATTCCAATATCATCATATTTCAAAGTATCTACTGGAGCCACCAAAATGATCTGAGATAGCGTGCATTTTAAATAAATTATGAGGAGCGAAATTTATATTCCCTCTTTTGTTACAGCGGACGATAATGTAGGCGGTGGCAAAATACTTCGCATTGTACCTCGCGATGGCTGGCTAGCTCAACCTCCATCAGCTGATCCTGTACCTTTGGCAACGCCTGTGCACAGGGTCATTGTACTTTCAACACTCACTGAAGACTGTGAAACGCAAGTAAGTATTTACAAATGATTATATATAGTATAGAGTAATCATTTAAAATTTATTAATACAAACATGCATATCGAAGAACGTCATGACTCGGAAAATCGAAAATGGTCAGGAATTTAACCAAAATGGATAAATACTAAAAACATATAACAAAACCAATTTTAAAATTGTATTTTCAAGGCGGGTGGGTGTAACGTATCACGCTCTTCTTTTCTATTGAATACCCGCGAGAGACTGACTGACTTATGTATATATGAGAAACAGGATTCCTTGGAAGCGATTAAGCGATGTTTAAGTTATAAAGAAGTCTTTTAAGAATAAATAGTTTGTTGTTGGCGCCTTCCTCAATATCGAGAGGCTTTAAAAAACGTGCAACCAAGGCCCTGGCCAAGCTTGGAGCATATGCTCAGCGACAAAACTCTCGTAGTGAAATGAGGTAATGCCTCTCAGTGTATTGCAGTAGGTGTAGCTATCAGCAGCGTTGCCATTTTAGCCGTTTTCCGGCTAGATTTAGCCGGTTTTGATAGCAACTAGCCGGAGAAAATTCGATCTAGCCGGCAGCCGATTTGTTAGCCGGTTTGTAAAAAAAAGTTAGCCGTTTTTAGCCGATTTTACTATTTGCCTAATTTTCAGGTGCAAAAAGTAAACAAGTTGTTCGAAAGCAATAATGCAGACCCAATGAAGATTTTTTATGAACTCAATGTTTTACTTTCGCATCTATGCTCCCTAGTGGTTATTAGCGCGGATACATTTGATCCTATATGCTCCCCGTTGGAACCATACCTTGCTCCATTTCCTCAGTTTTATCACAGCTTTGAAGAGTATTTAAAAACAAAAGTAAGCACAAACGCTTTTGACCACGAAGCCGAGAAAATAATTCGAGAGAATGGTCGCTATTTTATTATCACTTTAATAAACGAATTACGCCAACGCCTCCCTACAAATATTGCCACACTAAAAAAAATTGACTTTTTTCGGTGGGAAATGCATTAAGAGTAATTAAACCAAAAGTATTTGTTCAACTACAGCAACAAAAACACAAATATAATGCCGACGAAATAACATCCATAGAGATGCAATGGCAACGGTTAACGTTACATACCTGGAGTAGTTTAGACTCAACTGTAAAATTTTGGGCCGAAGTTTATCAATTTCGAAATGCCCTAGGAGAAAACCCTTTTGCTGACCTTTCCAACCTAGTTTTTAGTTTTCTTGTTTTGCCTATAAGTAATGCAGAAGTAGAGCGAATATTTAGTTCAATGAATATAATAAAAACTAAGCAAAGAAATCCAATGTGCGTTAAAACGTTAAACGCTATTTTATATATAAGATACGGTTTAAAACGTGAAGAAAAATGCTGCCATAATTTTACTGTAGATGACGATCTCTTAAAATTAATGAATTCAGGTGATATATACAATAGTGATTCATTTGATGATCTTTCGTTTCTTGCGATTTATTTAAATAAAGCATGTGAATATTCACTAAAACATTTTAGCCGTTTTTTGCCAGAGTCTATGTGAAATTTCACTAAACCATTTTAGCCGTTTTTAGCCGCTTTTTTTTGCCAATCTAGCCGGTCGGCCCAAAAAGTTCTGGCAACACTGGCTATCAGTGGGGCGCACTCTCACACTTTTCTCGTAAAGTCATCATTAATGACGTTCTGGATGAGTTAAAAAAGAGGCGCTGTCCAGTTATCGCCTTCGACTGCTAAGGCAGTGGCACTCGTTAACAGCCGAAAGTCTCTGAGTACTCTATATGTTCTTATATGACTATATTTAACCGTGATCCCAAAAAGGTAGGCAATTGCTTTAAAATGCTGTAAAACAGCCATGGGAAACCATAAGACACCCATAGACATTGCGGGTAAGGCTGCTGTAATGTGTCAATAGATCAAGAAGCACTGGTTTCTCATTCAACCCGTCTTATGATTACTAAACAATATTTGGAAACTTTGACTTCATAGCTGAAAAAGTGGATCGATGCGTACCGAAATTGGCTCCAGCATACATCCCTTCCCGGGAGGAAAGGGAAACCGAAAGCTTCTGGAACAGAGGTACAGTAAACATCTTCATGGATGCGTCGAAATTCGATGATAAAGTTGGATAAGGTGTGTTCTGTGAGGGACAATCGGTTAGGCTTCCGAATTTCTGCAGCGTGCTTTAAAGAGAGGCGACAATGTTATACCAATAAGAAGGCCAAATATCTACTCTGACATCGATGCAGTAATCAGGGCTGTTGAATGCGCTCGAAACTAGTGTCATTTGATTCCTACCAGAGAAGTTGTGGGAATAGGAGTCCCTAAACAGCCTACGGACTACTTCTGGATAGATGGGCTTTTAATAAAAAAGTCTGAGATTCCTCAAGAGGAATAGATTGTCGTGCATGGCCATCTAAACAAACATACCATAACTACGAGCACAAAATGAGTTTTTGATAGAATTAACCCTTTCAGGACCAAGGGAAACATGCTTCCGAAATGGTTTTTCCACTCATTAGGAAATTTTGTGAAACAGTTAAAGCTTTTCTGTTTCTCATTAAGAAAAAAAATGCTAAATTTGACTTTTATAATTTTTTAGAAAAAATTTAATTTTTTTAGAAAGGAATTTTAGAAAAATAAGTAGTTAGGAAAAAATAATTAACAAATTATTAGAAAAATGACGAAAATTATTGGAAAAAATTTAAAAAACTTATCTGTTTCTTAAAATGTGCCTAATTTTTACACAAAAAACTATTTAGGTCAAAGCTAGTTCTTAGAATTTTTTTAAGTTAAAAGTTAGTTTTTGAGAAAAAATTTAGAAAAAGGAATAATTGTTAGAAAAAAATAAACTTATAAATTTATTAGAAAAATAGGTAGTATTTAATTCTAATTTAATTTTATTCTAATAATGTGCCTCATTCTTTAGAGAAATATATATTTAGAATAAAGTTAATTTTTAGAATTTTCCTATAGAAAAAAGTTAGATTTAGAGAAAAAGTTTAAAAAAAATACATAATTGTTAGGAAAAATTTAATAAAAAAAAATATTAGAAAAACTAAAAAAAAAAACTATTCGCAATAAACAATATTTTTTAGGAGATAAAATATGTCTTAGTAAAATATGTTTACCAAAAGCAGAATAAAATGGCCACACAACTTAAAGAAAACACATCTTTTTGGGAAAAATTAAATACCTAAGAACAAAATTTTTGTATCTTTTGTTATCATATAGGAACAAAATTTTTGTTTCTGCTTCGACAAAACAGCAGCCTGTAAATTCGCACTGTATATTTCTGATTATAAGCTTACGAGGCCAGAAAGGGTTAAAAACATACATAGTAAGTCTTTTTAATAGAGTTAAAAATCATATGTACGCACATTAAGGTGGTCCAAAAAAAGTTTAAAGCTTTAAGCTCTCACCCCCTGGAATTTATCTAAAGGGAAAAAAGAATACCCGCATTTTTATTAAAAAAATATATATTTATAACTTCCTCAAAGACCATTTAGTTTTCCATGTATTTTACATATATGGGAATAAAACACTTTTTCGTAGAAATGGGATAGAATTCTTGAAAGTCAATATTTTTCGATTGGAAAACTGTGCTTCTCTTGAGGAGACCTCAAGTAATAATACCCTACTGTTTATTTTACCATTTTTTGATACTAGCGAGTTTTGTGGGTCCCCCATTGCATTTTAGGGGTTTTTGGGCGACCTTTAAAAAAAATTAATATTAAAGAATAGTAAAATAAACAATTGGGTATCGTTAATGGAAGTATCCTTAAGAGAAACAGAGTTTCATAATATACATTGAAAACTTCATGGGCCAGTTCTAAATATCTTCTTTTTTTAAACAAAAAACGCGAATTCTTTTTTTTTGCATTAAGAAAAATTCTAGGGGTGAGAGCTTAACATTTTAAACTTTATCCCGCATGCATTTTTGGACCAGCCTAACGCACATTTTTCGTTATATCTTCGTAATTTACAGTCAGATCTTCAAATATGAAATATCGATGTTTTTATCTCTAGGAGACAACTTTTTTTGTTCCAACGTTCAAGTAGCCTATTCTACTTACCTACCAGTTCTTATCACCCTAGCGTACCACCCTAAAGCCAGTAAACTAAAGCTCACCAAAAAGCATTAAA